CATTCGCGAAAATATTAATTCACACATTGATTGAACACAGTGTGATTGAAATCGAAATTCAATATTATCTATCGTGCAGCTGTTTTACGATTTTTAATCAAGCCGTAAGCAAAAAAAAAAAAAAAAAAAACAGAAGCGTCGATCGAATATCCGAATGTCTCGACAAGTTTCTCTAGAATGAATAGTATATATAGATAGCGTATGTTTTTGGGTTTTCAATTGTCATTTCGCGATTGTCATTCTGATTCCCCGACATTTCGATTAATTTCGTCGCGTTTAAATTATCGACAGGAAGGCGTCGCTCTAGTTTCTAAAATAGTAATGTCATTCGGAATTCGACGCATCGAACGCTGTCTGGACAGTGATTCCCGTTTCTACTTGGTATGCGCGCGCGACACAACCCGGAGATTTCACAATATTCGTCTTATTTCGATCGAATGGAAAGGATTCATTGTCGAGGGACGAGAGAGAGAGAGAGAGAGAGAGAGAGAGAACGCGACCCGATGATAAATTAAGTTTTCATCGCGGGAACGCTTCAATCCTCGCCGGATCGCGGAAAATCACGAAAGAGAAACGTTATCTCGGTTTTGCGGCGATTCCAGGCATTTTTCCGTGAAGCGAGTCCAACTATTCTTCAATGGCGCGCTGAAAGCTACTTCTATATATCTTAAGGTCTTGGGCAGATCCCGCCGCTTGCCTTGATGGCAAGCTCAATTTATATCAGCGTCCGTTGAAACCCCCTTTACGAGGTCTCGCCGCCTCTTCCACCTCCTAAACCTCACCCTAACCTCAGACCGCCCCTGAACTCGCCTGGCCAAACCTTGCTTCTTGCCACCTTCGGGGAACCCCCCCGAGAGCTCGAAAACTCTTTCCTCGGGTTAAACTAAGCTATTCGCGATTGCACCGCAGGAATCCACGCTTCTGTTCTCTGAAACGGAGAACCGTCCTCTACTATATATCGACCATTCATACGTCCTACACGTCCTCGTACATCTACTAAAAATCTTCTTTGTTGATTGACGACATCGTATTATTTGTATTAACATAGGATAAATTTACGGGAGTCGATTTTTCCGCGGACTCAACAACACGCCTCCGCCGAGAGTTCACGTGCGCACGATGAATCCGAAACAAGGGCAATCGTTTATGTAAATTCAGTGTCAACTTGGTAGGCAGCTGGATTGTCGGGTAAATTCACTCGGCATCAGTAGGGAAAAGGTGAACGTCGCTGGATAAAACGCATAATTAACTACATACAGGGGGGATAACCTAATGAATCTCCGTGTTCGTGGAATATAGTCTATCGTGTATGAAAACGTGAAACGACGGAAATTGTACGAATGAGGAGAAAATGATAGAGCTTTCCTTACTGCCTGTGGAATACGCGATCGAGCGTTTTCGCTTATACGTTCTACTCGTCGTTTGACGCCGTCTACCAGTCATCGCAGCGACTGATGCTGATTATTCGAAAGCGTTTGCGTTCGTTTCCACCCTCGCCGTGATTCCAGGTGCTTCCTGGGAACAGCTGCCGCGGCGCACGCGCCTTCGCAACAACGATGCGGTGATTGATCAATTTTTAAAAAGCAATGTTCCTAATTGACCCGCCGGCCCGTCTCAAACTCAGGTATTATGGCCACGAAAGGCGTCAGTCGAGCAACCTTAGTCATCGAAAGGTGTGTTCTGTGATTCGATCTATCCAGTTGCCTTTCTCAGACCCTTTCCCATCCCATAAACTCTCGATGACGTTAACAATCGAACACTCGACGTTCGTTGAAGATCAATTCCAGCTCGAATATAACGACAAATAATTTTTTGATGGCTTCTAATTCAAAGTTCTTTCGACTTGCGCGTTGGAAAAGTCCTACCTCAGGTTAATATAAGATCAATGGAATGTTGTTTCTTTGAATTTTAATTGAGGAAGAAGAAATTTTATATGAATTACGACATATATTCGATATTAAGAAGATTTGATATAAAAATATCAAATTCTTGTAATTGGTCAATTGGAATATCCATGAGAGTTATTCACGAAAGCTTAAATCCTAGCTCTAAAAATAGTCTTACGAAAATTCTTGGGAATAAAAATTTGTTATTCTATTTCGATTGTCTGGAAAATTCAAAAATTGTCAAATTCTACAGCTGGTAATTCTTTTGAAGATGAGACTAATTGGCCATTGGAAAAGTATATTGAAAAGCGTTTACCATGTACTCTGCAGAAGCTACGTGCGATTGAATCAACATTTCAAACTTCCTATTTCAGGTTTCGTATCTTTTATTTTCAGGTAGTTACGCGATATTCGTTTCATGCTCATGTTATAGGTTGTGTAGCGCGTTGAGTAGATCTATAATATCATCGATTCGACGTTGTTCAGTAGCGATAGCAAGCGATTTTTAAGATACCTGAATTTAATGATCGCAGATCTATCATACTAGGTATGCAATTAGTGCGGGAACATTCGCGCTAACCACCTTTGTCCGCTTGTCATCATGGAGGACGATAGTTTCATTTCTGTCATAGCGCGGGCCGTATCGTGATATATGTGTAATTAACACAATTTCATAGATATCCGTGATCATCGAAACGGATGTGCTTTATATAAACGTAGAACGATTCGATGATGACGATTATTAACAATGGTACAATAGTGTTTTACCGTGATTGAATAAAACTGAAACGAAAGTTAATATTTGCTCTATGTTCCAAAGTTATTAAACAGAAGGTGTTATATAGTTGTATAAATTTGAAGAAAAATACCGAGTCGTTTCTAATAACTCCAAACAGAAAACTCACGTTTATGTTTCGTCACGAATCGTGAAATTCCAATGAATGTACGCATGACGCGCAACAATATCGAAAACAAAGAACCTGCTCGTTAACATGTCTCTCAAGGATGTACGAAATTTTTTTTTTAAATTACATGTCTTCAATTTGTACGTATTAAGAGTATGAACTTGCGTGAACGCACTTTGCAAGAAAATGGTCAGGAATAAAACGTGGTGCAATGTTCCAACGACAGAGAAGAACGAAAGAGAGAAGATATCGAATCGATTTAGATGACAGAAAACTAGCTTGGCGATCGTCCGGCGCTCAGCGCTCAATATCGTCGACGAAAGCTCTCGTTTTGCGTGCAGTTATTTCGTAACAGGAGTCATTAGCATTCACCTGCGTTAATTAACGGAAGTTCTGGCGCACGTATATGCAGGATGCATCAGCCGTGTGTAAGGGGAGGCAGCGAGAGAGGGTGGGGGGCACGTGATAATGCGCGATATATACAGGTATACATCGATAGTCCCTTGTGCTTTTTCCCTCTTTTAGTTTATATCGTCGATGCTCACGTGCCGTGTAACAGCAAATTATCCACGGGCTTTTAGCTGTAGTTCTGGTGTAGTTGTACCGTGAAATCGGCGCAACCACACCCACTCGCAAGAAACACTGACAAGACGAAAGGGATCGAACAAAGGGGAAACAGGATTTTGCATATTCTCTGGCGGTGATTCCTTCGGCTGTGAGAGGGGAGAGAAACGAAATCTTCTCGGCTCGAAACGAGAATTCGATCGGTCGGACGTTACGATGATCGTTACGTGTGAGATTTCGATGGATAGCGTTATCGTCAAACGCTGCGCCAATGGCTGTGATCTATAGACACCGATTCCGATCCCAATGCACTTAACACCCATCCAGCTCTAATACTATTCTCTCGTGACGAGCGTTCATCCTTGAGTCGCGGCAGACGTGCCAGATGTTCCTAAGCTCCGCCAAATAAAGCAAGATATCTCGAGATAATATATCACCAACATCCGAAAATATCGCGAGGAAACATTACGAAACGCATCGTATTCTAGCTAAAATATTCCCGTACGATCCTCCGAGTAATTCAAACATTTGAACCTCGTATTCCTACTTATCTCAATTTTCCCGATAGGACCAACGTCTCGCAAAGTTCACGCAAGAGCGTAACAGAGGTATACCAAGAGAGGTTTTCATTCTGTCGCGAAACTTAGCGGCTCATAATAAACCGCCTTCGTTGGAGAAATCCGACGATCGCTTTCTGGCAATACCTGGAGTACACTGGAGCGTGTAAATCCCATATATCCAATTAGATTCGTATAATCCCTACATGTTAGCAGAGGGTGTCTCCACCCCTCGGGCTGGCTGGCTATTTCGTTCTCTGTTGCCCCCGGAAGCAGCCTCGGTTGCTCCCGCAGGTAACGCGTTGCTACGTGTGCGTCGGAGGCGCAAGCGCGCATCGTGCTCTAATGCTAAAGTACTAATTTATGGGCACATATGAGATGGCTATAGCGCGCTTTACCGTGCCAAAGGTACGAAAGGGACTGTAGTCCGTGGAACAGGGCGGAGGGTGGCTAGTGGGGATGTAGGACGAGGGTATATCGGAGAGCACAGGGGTGGGCTTTGCATGCGATATCAATAAATCAAGTCCCCGGGACCTCGGCAGCTTAGGGGGGCCACTACGTGGCCAGAATCAACAGCTCATAACGTCGGCTAATAGCTACTCGCCGTGGGGTCGAAGATATTGTCGTAACGCCCAGGGACATCTTAACGTCTTGCCTCGAATTTGCTTTCGCGCGTTCGTGAAAGAATCGCCCGCCAAAAGAACGTACCGTTTAGAACAGCAATTTCACTGCGTCGCGAGGCAAAGGCACGAGACGTAATTGTAAATTTATAACTACAATCGAGTTTTCGTTTCCTAATCTACGCTTTGGATCGATTTCGCAGTTGTACATTTAACAGAATTAAAATTTTTTTTGGTGATAAAGTCGCCACGCATTATTAATCATGTCACGGCGGAGATATAAGTTTGCATATAATAGTAAATTCATAATTGTGTGGACCGGATGTTGGAAATTTCTAGTTTCAATTTCAATTGTATGTATCGTAGAATTAACTGTGTTGAAAGACTTACGTTTTACGGCTTGTCAGGATACAATTTGAATTTTCATCGACGACAGGATGAGGATTGAAGATATCGGTGCGTTTGCAGGTGTGGTTTCAAAATCGTCGAGCGAAGTGGAAAAAACGGAAGAAGTGCGGCCCAGTTTTCCGTTCTCCGCCAGGTCCGTTGCTGCCATCGCACGGCTTACCCCCGTTTGGACCGATGAGCTCCGACCTCTGTGGTGCCGGGATGTTTAGTGGACCTCCTGAAAGATGGACAATGGGAACAGGTCAGTAATCAATAATTGTTTCATTTCAGTGAATTGAATTCTCTGTGAAATGAACCAACGTGATATATCTATTTTTCTGTTCTCTTTCTTTAATTCAGATCGATCAAGGTTTAGAGCGTCGCGTTAAATTCGTTTCCCTGCGGTGAAATTTCCACGAAAACGAAGGATGGAAGAGCGATCGCGAATAGGTTATTAAATCTACTCGCAACAAGTTGCCTGGTTTTACATTTATTATATTCAATTCGTCGTGTCATTTCGCATACGCGTAATCTTATTACCAGATGTTTCACGCTCGGTTGCGAGGGAGACACGTCTTAAATAACCGGACAGTAGACGAAGTCTCGATAGTATGTATTCCACTTCTAATTTAATTTCGTGTGTCCATTGTACCGGACAGATTAAATTATCCGCACGTATCGTTGGGTTTTGCAGCTGTCCGACGATTCGCGCGTGTCGTTCTTTCTCCTTTTTTTTTCTTTTTTTTTTTTTCCTTTTCTTCGCTGTCCGTTCTTCCCCTTGATCGACAAACCCTTCGTAACCCTTTTTGAAACGAGTCACGCGGCTGTTTGTCTAAAGCCGCTTGTTTTGCAGGTCTTGGACAACTGGGACAAGGGGGCATGGGAATGAGTGGTTTCGGCCAAAGTTTGGGACAACTTGGTCAGCAAAGTACAGGGAGCCTTGGCTCGAGCTTAGGTCTTGGTAATTCTGGACTACCGATCAGCAGTCCGTCGCAGGCCGTCTATCAAGCTAGTTATGGTCTGAATTCCCTTGGTAAGTCAATCTTATACATAGATTATCTTCACTCGAGCTACACCCCAAAGATGATTCTTTGAACGTAGTCGAGTTAGCTTATAAGTTTGTCGTGTAATTTTCTCTTGTTCGGGGAACTAGTTATTTCGTATTACCGGAGATAATACTGCTTTGATAGAAACGGGAATTAATCGTCGTCGGAAAAGCGAATAGTCTTCGTAGAACGTTACGAACCAAGAGTCGACGCGAGACGAGAAGACCGATCATGTTTATGCAATTTTAAATGACGTTTTACAACGCGCGATACTATGAGGTTGTTGGAAACGGTATTCCCGGGATAATAAAGTTTTATGTGTTAGTCTTTAAAACAGCGATTTAGACTTGGTTCGATTACAAACGGATCTTCTAGGTAAGAGGAATATTTTGTCTATGGCGAGAGAAGACGAATATTAACGTGCCGGACAAACGCAGACGCTTATAGGCGGTTCGATAATCGTCTTGCCAAACTTTTGGACCGTGGCCCTGTAAAGAAGACGATGTGCAAACAGTATCGAGGAACCCGGTACCTCTTTGACGAAGTCGTTAAACGTTACGGTGCATTATCGCTCGAAGGGGTTATGCGCCTGCATGTAAGGAATTTGAGACAGAAACATAAACTCCGTCCTCTCGTCTGTTTACGCAGGCAAACTTCGAGCCTGGTCTCGCACCTAGGTGCGAGATCTTTCGCTGTATGTTTACCATAACATCCCGATGCAACCTGTCTTGGTTGAGTTACGCTTCAGCTTATCCAGGGACCTTGTACCTTCGAAGGTGCCTCAGAAGACGAGACGTGTGTGAAATTCTTTGTCTCACGAAATTCTACCCATCGTACGAGTTCGGCCTCTCTCTCTTTCTCCCTCTTTCTTTCTTACGAATACACGAGTGATACGGTCGAAACGTTTTAAGAGAACATAGGCGCGAAGAAACTGAAGAAATGGAAAGGCAAGTTGAACGATCGACCACTCGTTTCTCTACACGTTTCGTAGTCACTTCGACGTACGGCGATCGCAAAGGTAAAAAAAAAAAAAAAAAAAATAACTAAAATGAGGAGATATAGAAAGCTATATGAAGAAGCGAAGGTTATTTCTTGAGCGATGGTTATTTTTCCAAAAATTCAGATAATCGTGTCAAGAGAAAGGGGAGGGACATCTATTATTCAATAGAAAAATTCCACTGTCTAATGTCTTTTTCGATTATCCGATTTCATAATTCCAACCGTCAGCAAATGCATATTGACACGTATAAATGGATTAATGCCGACGGATATACCTGCACCGCCATTTCCCGAGGTCAACAACTCTTAAGATGCGGTTTTGCGATATAGATTTTTTTTTTTTTTGACAAAAAAAATCCTGTCATTTGTCGCATATAAGCTCCCGCTTCGGTTAGTTTATTTATGATTAACCGGCGACCAAGCGGTAATTGAAAAGCAATATTCATAATAAAGGGTGGTGACGTTATAAATGCATTTCGAAAAGCCAATAAAAAAAAGTTTAAAACCGGATGCGACTTCATAAAGTTTTCAAATGTTCGTACACTTCTTTTGTAGTATATTTATATCGTTTTCTATCTATTTATTTTATCTTTATCGATCGGTAAAGACGTTTAATACCTACATTGAATGTTGAAGAGGCAAGTGGTTAAACCATATGGCGAAACTGGCTTTGGGTGTAGCACAATTTCACAATGTACGCATTAATGTGAGTGTGTGTCTGAAACGCGAACGCGTACCTGTGTACATACGTAACACGTACAAGGTGTCAATTATCACGTATTATCGCCGCGGGGCAAGTAACGTCAACCAAAAGGAGAGAGAAAAATGCCGTTCCACAGGCGTGATTTACCGTCCATGTGATTCGTGTGATCCCGGTTTAAGGTAGACGCCAATACTGCTCGAACCTTAGCAGTCTGACCGCAGTCAGTTATCCGCTTTTACTCGCCGGTAATACCTAGGGCAAACACCTTTTAGAGAAACATCTTATTTTTTTGGTTTTCGATAATGATTAGCATCGAACGGTAGCGTGGTCGAAGTTTGCCGGTTTCCAAGTCGATTACGAAGCTCTATTTTGTTTATTCTCGTCTAGCAACAGTGAGCGAAAGAACGTCTATAAGGTGTGAATTAACACGGCCGAAAATGCCCGATTTTCGAGTCACGCGCGCGACCCTCCGAATATCCTTCCAACTTGGAATATATATCAACCAGCTATTTCCACGAACGAGATTTACTTTTTTAAATAGGTCTTTGTTTCACCCGAAATAACGAAGAATGGGATAGCATTCCCGGCAATAAGAAAGATTCACAGGACAACCTTCGATACAACACGTCTCGGAGGTTTTACGAAAATATGTAAAAAAAAAACATATTTCAGAATCCCGTGAAATCCCGGACTGTCGCAGAAATTGACAAAGAAAAGCTACATGTACAATATCACGTGCGTCGATGCCATTAGCTGTTCCATTCTTCATCGCTAAAAGGGGCGGACTCGCGTAGTCCTCCGCAAACTTGTACTCACGCCGCAATACCGCCATAAAAGGATCCCTTTTCCCCCGTTGTCTCTCGGCGAGCCCACCAACGTGGCGCAAGAAAAAGCGGAAACGACTTTACGACACCCGGTAGCGCACCCCACGCACTTTGTGAGCCTACTGTATTAATATCTCCTGCGAAGGAACGAAACGTTCTCTCGTGCACCTGCGGTATCGCACCTGTAAATTGCCATATCGCTACCTGGCTCGACTAAGGGTTTCTAGACTGACTATCCTAGGCACACGACTAACAATAAGATAACTTTAGAAAGAAGTTTATATAATAAAATGAAGCACCGATGATGTTCATTTGCTGTTATGAGCTCCGGTCCTATGCAAACGATGTTGTTACAACGGCAGATAGTAGGCTATGGTTACAGAGAATGTCCGTTTTCACCGTTGTTTAGACGTGCATCTATTGTAATCATAGCCTTACCAAATAACGCACTCAAACACGTTCGAAAGTACTGCATCGATAAATAACGTGAAAACAGACAGTTGGACTGACGAGAACGATATTGCAACTTTCAGGGGGTGTTCACGTGTCAGCATCCCGGGGCTCACCGCCAGGAGGATCCAACGTGGGTGGTGGACAGGGTGGTGGGCTAGGATCAGCCTTGAACTGTGGCCAGGGATCGCCTGGGACGACTTCTGGCAGCGGAGGTGGCGGCGGCGGTGTTTCCTGCGTGGCTGCCGACGTGAACGCAACCGAGGCGTCGGATTGGAGAGGCGCCCACAGCATCGCGGCGCTCAGGCGTCGTGCCTCGGATGCGTCGCAACAATATAGTCCACAGCCGCCGCCACCACCCGCAGGACCCCCTCAGTACGCCCAGGACATGGAGTACAATTCTGTTTACTGAGGTCCCGCCAGTTTCGCTATCAATTCGACGATAAATCCTATCGGGGAAATGTTTCAAGGATTTCCTTCATGGATGGTACCGAACGGTCAACGTGCAGGGTAGCGGATCAAAGTAATGCACGACGAGAGGGAAGGACACATTGTGCCAGGATGTTTCTCTTTGCTCCTCGTGATTGTCACTCCGGAGCCACGGATCTACGTTCGCCACGACATAGATGCGGTTCCGATTTTCAGCGATTTCAACGATGGACAGCAACATGGCATGGGATTCTGTCTGTCGAGATGTCTCCCGATAATATCGAATATTTGTTGTTATTTTTATTCTCGAGTTACGTATGTTTAAAGAAGAGAAAGTGGAAGAAGAAGAAGAAGAAGAAGAAGAAGAAGAAGAAGAAGAAGAAGAGGGAAAAGAAATTCGATGAAATTTTATTACGTTACTGTATACTGGCCGTGTCAAAACGATAAGTTTCGAGTCAGACGATACGAACGTATAGCAGACGCCACTGATAGAAACTAAGTCAGCAACAACGAATTTTAGTTATCTCTACGACGGTTATAGAAGATACGTCAATGTTGGTTTTATTCTTGCTTGGCTGAGTCAATTTGTAATTACGGATAGAAGTCAAGAGGCCGTAGAATTTCTATCAATTTTAGCGACGATACTGATATTTCTTCTGTCAATGATATGTGTGATCGTGATATTCGAGAGAAGTGAGTCGTCAGACTGAACGAGTAAATTAAGAAACATTGGGAAGGTCTTTAAAAAGACGAATGAGAGAGAGAAAAAGTTTCGTTAATTAAAGAAGACATACGCATTAGTGACTTTTTCAAGAGGACTCGTGTCATATTGAAGCTGTGCAACGCTGAGAAGATACGGTGGTTCATATATACATATATTAACTCTATCACGGATGTTGGTCGGACGATTTGCTACATTCTATGCATTTGTAATATGTTTCTAGGTTCCAATTAACAATTTATACACCAATAATTCCATCGTTGTCACAATTGAAACGGACAAGTTTGATTTTATTAATATTTTACAACTGTATTTCATGTTTACTTAAGTTCTCATGAATTACTTACGTGAATCAATCGATTTATTTATTTAGTCAAAATCTAGATCAATTATGTGAACAAAAATTTGTTCTAATTCTATGAAATTCATTTTCCATTTCATGCTCTTTCGAAGGAATTTTGAAAATCATAAGTAATAAATTCTCGCGTCGTGGCACGGTGTAACGAAAAGGTATACGACAAGTTATTATAGTATTACGTATGGCATTGTAAATATGGTAAAAAAAAAATTGACGTAACAATTATGATCAATTATAATTATTATTACTATTAAATTTAGTAATATCACTGATAACTTTCTGGCTAACTAAATCTAGTTGAGTTTGCTTCCCTAAGTAGAAATCTACTTTTAAAAACCAAAGCAATGGTACTTTTTCATAATTTTCCCGCTTCACCTGAATTTTATTTTATTTAAAAAAAAAGCCTATTTGTCAATCCTTTTAAGATTTGATGATGAAAAACAATTTGCATAAGTTGAATACGCAAAAGAGGATCTAGCCTTTTACTCTGTTTAATGTTACTTTATGTTTCGAACGCAGACTGGTTTAATTCTTGAAGCGCATCAAAATGTAAGTAAATGCTCGAGAGAAGACGTGTACTGAACGAGAAATTTCACTTGCTTCAAAAATACCAGTATGTGTGTGAGTGTAACGTTAAATTTTGCACGAAAGGAACGGTACTTTGAGTAAACTAAAATGCAAGTTAGCACTTCTGCGTGTTGCATTTCCCCAATAATATCCTAGAACGCTACAAGCTATAGATTGTTTCTGTTGTTGTACACCGGAGCGTAAGTTTTGTAAATAGAGTATACGTCTAAACAATTAATAATAATTAAATATTGTAAGTGAACACGACATCCCATTTACGAACGAAACGTACGCGAGTATACTTGGACATTGTGATATTTTAGGCCCGCTGTTCCATTTTTTTCGACAGCGACAAGCCGTGTACATGATATTGCAAGAAGAATAAGCGGTACCACAGTAGTGATCGCGAGCGACGACGAACGTCGATTATTCTAGTTACGAATTTATGGTAGTCCTAGGTAAAAGTTAGTGATAAATATGAAATGAACGATATGCAGTTGTCAGTGTATTACTACGAAATGTATACGATTTTTAATGTACAAAAAAAAAAAAAAAAAATGGTATAGCCGCGAAACGACGATGTTTTTTCGCAATTTCATCCTGCTGGTACGATTTGTGTTCAGGATGAAATATCTTATAATTGAACTGATTCTAGCGATTCTCTCGTTTCCTCTTTTCTTCTTGTTCTTTTTTTTTTTTTCAAAATATTTTCTATACACCTACCGACTTGCACATTTTTATACATATTTAAATAAAAATCGAACGCCTGCATATACAAGACATTTGCAAAATGTGTCATGAAAATGCATTATGTCTCCTGTTAAATACGTGAAAAATACAACAATATTTATTTATGGGCTGCGTGCATAGATGAAATGATTTCGCGAAGATCGAATCTGTCAGAGTGTCGTGTTTATTAGCGGATTGAACTAAATTGCATGAGTATTTTGTAATATGATCGGTTATATATTTCATGTGAACGTTCTCCTTTTTTCTCAGCTCTATATTTTACAAGCAATGAAATATATTTGATAGAACACGTCGCAAAAGAATGGACTGACTTTATGCATCTTTAACACAAATCATTATCGTCAATGACCTTAATTAGTAATAAATAGAAAAATTTTAATTTTTATCGTTGTATAGTTATGTATAGAAGACAACTAAGTGTGTAAAATAAATCATTATCAAAAAGTCAGATCTTTTATATATCTTTAATAATTTCACTGATCAAATCCTGAGCAACGATCCGACAAATTTTTACTGGAATACCTTCAGTAATACAAACACCAGTTTTTATTTGAAAATATACATTTCCACATTTATGAATACATACATTACGTTTATGGCAATTACACATAGATATTTACACGGTATGAAAGAAACATAGATTAAGAAAAATAAAAAAGAAGAAATATAAAGCAAGTTAGATATGAGCATTATAAATATTAGATAGTACATTATTATCTAATATTAAATGCAATCTCAGGTACTAGAAAAATAGTGTCTGTCGAACATATTTGAATGAATAAAAATTTATAAATACTGATTAAACAAAACATCTTGAAAAATATAATTATATATGTGTATAGATATATATGTAACCTATTCTTTATATTTTCAAGGGATATGTTAATAATTTGAAAAATGTAGTTACATAATATAATTTGTAAATGAATATTGATATCTAATATATGCAGTTTAGGTTTGGTCATTTTTTTAAGTGTTATTTGCAAGGCCATAATCATGAGGTAAGTTATAATGTTAACATAAATATTCTTACAATTACAATTAATAATTTCGATAAAAATTAAACATACATTTTATATATATATATATATGTAATGTGTTTGAAATTTATCGAAATATATATATATATATATATATATATATATATATATATATATATATATATATATATATAGATCTATTTACCTTATTTTGCATTTGTTATATTGACTACTAATTCATATAAACTTTAATATTATAAAAAGTAATTCGATTTAAATCAAATATATTCGATCAAATATATTCGAAATAATAATAAAATCTTTAACCTTCAAAATTTCAAACAGCTCCTTATTACTTCTTGTAAAGCTTCACAGGAAAATGTTAACCTCTTATTTTCACCATTTACAGACTTATTATAAATTAACTAAATAAAACTAATATAAATATTTAAATTAACTCAAATAAATCTCCGAAAAAGAAACACAAAATCTGAAAATATTGGCAGTTCTTTCGAAACACTAATTGCACAAGAGAGTCAAAGAGAATATCGATATCTATCAAATTCAGTGTTCGAGTAATCGAAGGTATAAACGCGGGAACTGTTTCATAACACACACACACACACATATATACATGTACATATATTATATTTCAATATCTTTTGTTTCTCAAATATAAGAGAAACATTTTAATTTCTTTACGTATAATTATTATTTAAAACATGCAGGAATAGTAATTTCTATAAAATTAAATCAATTAAATTGGAATAACGATTAGAGATGCAGCGGATTCACATAATCGTGAAGTTGGCTACTTCCGAGTGACGTCAGTTGATTTCGGTTAACGAGAGCGGGAGACGATCGGGTAACGATCAACGGCGAAGTCTTAAATAACGGATTCGATATTCTTTTTTTAAAGAATATAACAAAACAATTACGTATACTTAACTTTGTGAGTGATAATAAGTGACTTTATGTGAAAAGGCAACAGTCGTGAGGCATTAACTGGAACATCTCATAATTTGAACATCGTACTTCGTAGGACTAGCATCGTGGAGATCCAAATTCAATATACATGCAAAAAGCCTGAATTGGAAGGTAAGACAACAAGTTTGTTTAATACAGATACGTCGTTAAAATCATGTTCTTGATTAAAACTGTTCAACATTATGAAATAACTTTTGCAAAGCTATTCTCCGGATATTCATCCTCCGACGTTTCTGGTTCCGTGTTCAATTTACTAAAGTCTCGCGGATTTGGTCGTTTCTCCACTATCTTGAAACTCTTGCCTCTTCTGTTTTCCAAGAGATTTGGAAGTTTAAAGTTTTCTCGCCTCTCGGCTTCCCAGTGCATTCGTTTGCGCATTATTAACAAACATCCTGTTTATAAAAATAAACAGCATTAGAAAATGATTATTTGTTTTTTTTCTTTTTTTTTTTTACTCGTACTTGATAATAATAACGCGACGATCCTTTATCATTATTTTCGAATCTAAAATGATCCAGTATCTTAACCAAAAATGCATTATATAATGCATTATTTTAACCAATAATGCATTATATATTATATAAAATAGCGACGAATCTAACTGCTATCTATCTATAAGCAACGTGCACTATGTTTTATTTAATACTTACACAATCTGTTTAAGTTAAACTATTTAAGTTAAACAGGATAACGCGCAGGGGAATAACGGAAAACGTTGTTAAAATGAAGTCATGTATATTTTCTTTTACAAGATATGTCTATGTTATATCTAAAATAAATAAATAATCATATACAAGAGGTAGAAAAGAAAAAATGCAACTTTCCAAAACAAAATATTTGTGAAAAAGTCATAAAAAAAAGTTTAAATTCAGTTATGAAGTAAATTCATAATACTTTAGTTTTAGATGTACAAGATTCAATAATAAGACTATAAATAAAACATTTATACATTTGTGCGATCACAGAAAATTTCAAACAATATTTACAATGTAACTTACTAAACATTCGATTATGTAAATGGAAGTCAAGTTAGAGATTAATGGAATGTTAAGTAACTGAACTTTAAGTTGCTAATTATAATTTGTAACAAGTCATAGTCATTTCTTGTAGCAAAATATAAAAAATGGAATTGTTTTTTCCCAAGAATAAGCAGAATAAATATTAATACTGCAGCATGATAATAATTCTATAACATTCGTAAAAATAAAATTTAATTAGATTAAAAATAACATTTGAAGTACCATTTCATCATCTAACCATTAAATTTTACATTTATATACAGCTCTCTTGTACTGGTTTCCATAACCTAATGCATTCATATTTGTGTTACGTGTTTGATATGTAGTTATTTTGTTTTCTGTAGATAAGCACATTTAAATAAAATAATAAAATATATGTACAACCAGTACAAAAGTTTATGCAATTCTTATGCAGCGAGATTAAAATTTGAAAAGAAACTAAAGATAAAATAGCAATAATTTGTAGGATATTAAATTTGCAAAATTATTTAACCCTTCTTTTTTGACCTCTAATTATGTGATATTTCATGAAATTTCTTATAACTGTTTAACGACGAAATTAATTACTTTTGATAGAACCACTACTTGATTTTGCAAAAAACTAATTAACATGCGTGCACAACTATTATATAATAATTCAGTTAATTATTACTCTTATTCTTATTCGACTAATTTTGAGAATTCGACAGCAGATTCATCATACTGAAACAATCTACCTCTTTTTTGACATCTTGCTAAAACTGCAGCAATTGCTATACAGAGCGCAATAAAAATGACTGCTGCTGTAACAAGGGATAAGACTAATGTTGCTGTTGTAGTACCTCCAGTAGGGTTGTTCATATCACTATCCGTCAAAGGTGCTGGTTCATGATGAGAGTTTGTGCGTACCACAGAATTTCCAGTTTGTACTGATGTATTTATATCTATAAAGAAAATGTCATATATGATTACTCAAAGAAATGTAAATCAAATAGGCTTTATTCTCATATTTCAAGGACTTAAAATCTTACTCTGCAAAAATTTATAAACAGTATTCTTATTCAGTTCCACAACATATATTTCTGAACCATCCTCAGACACAGCTATATCATGTGGACTATTCATATCTTGACCTGGTCGAAATGTAAATAGTATATTTCCTGAATTTATATCAAGAACAAACCCCTGAACATGTATATTGTAACTTGAAGGATTATTAATTAAATAAAGCCTTCCTTTGGCATATGCCACACTATAAATCAATGGGCCAATTCTCTTAAAATCCTTATACTTTTTGTAAAAAGTCCCATTATTTGCAAAGAAAGACACAACTCTACCATTTTCTCTATCAGCAACAAAAAGTAAGTTCAATTCACTAGCAAGAACTAAAGCATGAGGTACATTAAATGCATTTGGTACAGGATCTCTTTCTGCATATGTCGTTCCTGTAATATATTGATTATATTATAACCTAACATAAATTATTAATCTTCATATAAGTGCAAATACTTACTACCCCACTTTAAAATTCTCTCTCCTTTAGCATTGAATTTAATAATTCTAGAATTACAGTAACCATCACTGACAAAAAAGTCACCATTACTTTCTACAGCAACTGCTGTTGGTTTACAAAACCGTTTGTCATCGTTACCAGGTATAAAAGCTTCTCCAAGAACCAATGAAGGTTTAGGGTTAGAAAACATTGTTTCCTGATTATATTCTCCTTTTTTTAATCTTGCTATATCCTTACTATCAAATTTAAATACTTGATGTAAGGCTACATCAGTAATCCAATAATTTCCATGCATGTCTATTGTCAAACCATGTGGTAAATAAAATTTCTTTGCACCCCATTCTAACAACTTTTTTCCAAATTTATCTAACAAAATTACTGTGTTTTCTTGAATTGGGCCTTCCTTTTTATCAAATATATTTTCATTGTCAAATGTAGTTAACCCCCACACTCTTTTTCCTCTATGAAATACTCCAATATTTCCATTTGGATCTATAGACACTGCTGATACCTGTCCAAATTTGATATTTTTGGGCCACTGAGAATCCCATATAATATCTGAATATACAAAGAATTGGAAATTGAGATGCATATAACATTTTAAATCTTAGTTTGATAAATATTTTACTCACTTTTATTAAGTAAATCTATAGCTTGTTCAGTATCTATTGTAGTTTTTGGTACATTTTGGTACATCTGATCCCATTGCGATGTAAAAGATGTTCTATCTCTTTCATCATTATCAGAAGATTCCAAATACTCACTGAAGCTAAATTTGTTATCAGGCAAATGATTTGTTCTATGCTGTAACATTAAATCAATTAAATAAAGAACATGAAACATGTACCCATTTATTTAATCCATATATATTTTTATTTCGAAAGTGCTAATGTTACTTAAAATATCAACATAATCAAAAAGTAATAAATTTTATTAGGATCTAAATTACTATATATAATTC